TTGAAACAGAGTTTCTTTAATTTTTAATATAATTTCAAAATTGACTTTTGAATGCGATGGAAATTTAGTTATGTCTTGAAGACAGCTTAAGGAGTCCGAAAAAATTACCGATTTACTTAGACCGCGGGTTTTAATAAAAAGAGCTGCTTCTAAAAGAGCAACAGCTTCACCAGAGTACACAGAGGAAGTCTGAGGGAGTTTGTATTTTAAGGAGATTTTAAACTTGGGGATCCATACCGCCGCACCTACAGGACCATTTTGGGATAGTTTAGATGCATCAGTGAATAGGTGATAATGATTAGGCCATTGTAGTTGTACTATGTTCTGAAATTGTAAATTTGCTCCTGGGGAGTCTTTATGGATCCCAATATTCAAGAAGGTAGTGGGACGAAATAAAAGACAGTCAAAACAGAAAAGAAAGAGGGGGAATTTATCATATTGAGAAATTGGAGAAGCTATATTTTGCAGTTTCTTATACGAGTTGACAAGAGGAGGTACAGATTTATGACGCCAGTATCTAGGTTTTGGTCAGTTGTGCTAGTTGAGAAAGTAGAGCTAAAAGGGGGTGGTTTGAGAGAGAAATTATTTTGTAGAAAAATCTATCAGCTAGAAACTGTCTACGCAAGGCTAAAGGAGGTTCAAAACATTCAACTTGTAGGGCATTTATAGGGGAAGATTTCATGGCGCCAGAGATGATTCTGAGGCATTTTGATTGAATACGATTTAGTTTTGTAAGTGCCATTTTATTACAAGGCTCCAAAACAAAGCAACCATAGTCAAAGTGACTTCTAATTAACTTGCATAGGTCATGACGGGGCGTATGCAACTTTTGTAAAGTGTCACCTTATTTCTAAGGGACATTTTACTTCGCCTGCATATCGTCGGGTAAAGACGTCCTAGAATGAAGGCGGCACGATCGCGTACCGTCTTAATATGGGCGCGGAATGTCATCCTTCTGTCGAAGGTGACGCCTAAATATTTGACCTTCGGGGCCCACGGTATGGGCTGGTCGAACATCGTGATTGGGCGAATGGCGGAGGCGGAGGTGTCGACGCGCCTAGACGGGAGAGGGATGCTCAACGTGGTGTTCGGAGGGCTACCCCTTTTGAAGAGCACCGCTGTGCTTTTCGTGGGGTTGATGTCGATCCTAATGTGTATTGATGCATATTAACTACAAGAAACATAATCGCGAAAACAGATATCAATTTATAATTACACTGGTGCACGACTTCCAGGATAAAGAATTTACTTCAAATCAAACTTTGAAAACTTTTATGGTAATACGCCAGAACTCAGTCTGAATGCCACTCGGTCGCTCGGTCAGTTAGTTCTTTTTTGTTTTTGCTTATCTACAAACATTATGTACATGTACATAGGAATGGGTATCAATGTATTTTGGATAAGATGGTTGTTCTGTTTTGAATGAGATCATCCGTGTATCAGTGAAGAAACTCTTTTTTATTTCATTAGATGGGTGGACGAGCTCACAGTTCACCTGGTATTAAGTGGTTACTGGAGCCCATAGACATCTACAACGTAAATGCGCCACCCACCTTGAGATATAAGTTCTAAGGTCTCAGTATAGTTACAACGGCTACCCCACCCTTCAAACCGAAACGCATTACTGCTTCACGGCAGAAATAGGCGGTTTGCCTACCCGTGCGGACTCACAAGAGGTCCTACCACCAGTGATTACGCAAATTATAATTTTGCGTGTTTGATTTTTATTATACGATGTTATTCCTTCACCGTGGAAGTCAATCGTGAACATTTGGTGAGTACGTATTTCATTAGAAAAATTGGTACCCGCCTGCGGGATTCGAACACCGGTGCATCGCTACAAACCAATGCACCGGACGTCTTATCCTTTAGGCCACGACGACTTCAATTAGACTCCTAAATAGACTCCTAAATAGATTTTTTGTTCTGTTCTCTACTCAATATTTTTAAGTGTTATGCGTTCGTAAAATAGTTGAACACATTAAATTGTTTCAAATTACGTCTCTAATTAGTTTATTCTGCAATTTCCACCGATTTTTTAGGGTCGACAATTCTAAATTTATATTTACTGGACTCGAATTACAATTGCTCTTGGAACTCAACAATGTCAGGTCACAACCAATCCGCTGTAGGCTGTAGGCAGCACACAACAGCTTTTCAGGGCCTAAGGAAAGACCTTTCAAGGTATTAAGCATTTAAAAAACACCAACCGGATGATACGTGGTTTATTAGCATTACAGCCAAATTTGGTGGTAATACCATCCCAGTTATTTTTAATGGAAAGTAATCACATGTTCTCAGCCGAGGGTGAAGGAAGTTATTACGAATAATTTCGATCAAAGGCAATAAATGATTTACTATTATTATATCGAGGAGTGTAAAACTATTTGGTTTGGGTAATGTCGCTTAAAAAAATAGTCTTTCATCCCTCGATATCATTATTTATTTACCTATTATTGTTATTTTATTTCATCCTAATGCCTAAAGTTAATGTCTCCGTACACTTTGTGATGTGAATTAACCCCAGTAACGACTTTCGTTATTAGAAGTAAACTCCAACGCAGTGGCATCTGGTGCAAAAGTAGAACGGACATGATCAAATAATCTGAAGTGTTTCCTAAGTCCCAATAGGACATACAGTCCTAAAATACAGAGACTTACAGTTGAAATATGAACAGCTTATACATTTTATTTCGGGGAATTGACCGCTATCTAGAAATACATAGGCGGCACTGAAAATTTCGGGAATTAACGAAGTGACACAATATTACTATTTAAAAATGTATTTATTGCTTTTCGAAGTATTCTCCGCGAAATTTCACACATTTTTCCATACATTGAAGCAACCATTCCATTCGGAAGTTGGGGTCTCCAAAATGGCCGTTTTGTAGGCGTCCACAGCTTGCATCACAGATGCATTGCGAATGCGGTATCCATCGGGAAAACAACTTTTTTACACCTAATTGTTCATGAAAGATTATTTGTATCATGCCAATGTCTAAAGTTGCCTGAATTTCGCGGTATGTCACATGTCAATCTTCCTCAATCAGCTTACGCACAGCATCAACGTTTTCTTGGGTGACTGCAGTTTTTGGACGACCTTGACGGGGATCATCAATGAGCTTGACACGTCCACATTGAAACTCAGCAAACCAGCGATAAATTGTGGTTTTGGATGGGGCTTCATCACCAAATGCAGAAATCATCCGGTCAACACACTGTTTTTGTGTTAAACCACTTCGAAAGTCATAATAAATCATCGCTCTTGAATTTTCTCGAGTCAATTCCATTTTCTCAACGACTAAACAAGTTTGACAAAACCTCNAATTTTCTCGAGTCAATTCCATTTTCTCAACGACTAAACAAGTTTGACAAAACCTCGTGACAAGACCGAGAATCTTTTTTTAAATAAATAAATGGTATTCGATTTTTAAAACCAAGGAGTTTTCAATTAAAAAGATTTTAATATGACAGGAACAGTGGAAATATTCCATTCCCGATACTTTTAGTGCAGCCCTCGTAATATAGCTTCGGCGTTTGTAACAAAACATTTTGCTGTATATACTATGAACCTTTTGCGTACAAACGATATATAAAAAAAAAAGATCTGTCAGCTGTCATGTAAAAAAGTATGGCATATGGCGCTATATTCGTTAGAGAATATTTACAGTATAATTATCAACACAAAACAAGTAATCTTTGACAAAAATGACTAGTTTGATTAACAAAATCGAATTGCTAATTAAAAGGGAAAAAACTACACCGGAAAAAAAGAAAGATGACTCAAAAAAATCTTCGCATGAAATCCTCTCTGAGCTATTCAGCGCCTTCAATGCTGACCCACCTAAAATCGAGGAGGTGCCTTCAAAGAAAAAGAAAACCAAAAAGAAACACAAGAAAAAAGACAAGAAACGATCCCACAGGAATACCAAAAGCGATGACTCTGATAATAGTGAAATTTCATCAAACAAAGCTAAAAAACGGAAAAAGAGTAAATTGAAAAAACGTAGATACAGTCGATCGCCTTCACTTCGTTCTCTGACTCCGCCAAAAAAAATTAAATGTGAATCGGACGGGCTAAAATCGAAGAAAACAGATAAATCTACAAAGAAAAAATATGCAAATGAAAATATTAAAATTGAATCTGTAGAAAATGAGAAACCATTACCCATAAAATCTGAAGTCCCAAGTGATACGAATATATTGAATTCAATGGATGCAAGCAGAATCCCTATGCCCGAATCTCCTCATGGCTCTAAACTTGTCAGCACTGATCTCACATTAAATCAGAACCAAAATCAAGAGCCGACCAACAAACAGGATTCGAGTACTGAATCAGACAAAAATAAAGGTAAAATTCAAATAAAAAATCTGAAGTTTAGTGCTGTGTTTGAAGAAACTGTTAAAAAAGCTGAAGAACAAGCCAGGAAAAAAGCTGAAAAATATGAGGATGGTGAATATACTGACTCCTCAAGTAGTTCAGTCAAAGAAGTGGAGCTGAATCCCCAATTTCCGAAAACATCAGATCCTGGTGGTATTTTAAAACAGCAAATTGTGGAAGATAATAAAATGTATGTATTGATGTAGAATTTCTAAGGAAATTACTAAACTAATAAAAAAATAATCTCTTCAAACACAATTACTTAACATTATAGTTCAATTAAAATCAGTATAATGTAATATTTTGTGATTTATGCTTTACTGCAATTGTTTTTAAAATTAAATGAAAATCTTTTTACAGCTGTGAAGAAGAAAAGAAAAGTCAGAAAAAAGAAAAATCTGAAATTTCAAATAAAAAATCACATAAAGACAAAAGTCGTTCTAAAAGGTACTTAACAATATGAAAAATGGTATTAACATGATCTATGAATTGATTGATGATTGATTTAACTTTTTCATACAATTCTTTTATTTCATGTTCAATATCAAATTTACCTTTTCATTATTTTTATTACTTGGACAGATTAATGAACTCATTGCCCACCTGTTGTTAAGTAGTTCTCAGAGCCCATAGACATCAACGACCGAAGTGTTGTTACCTTTCTTTTTTTTTTATGGCCGTGGGCTGAACCTAGGAGATCCCCGTGCCTAGGGGGCGGGTGGGGTATGTTGGACTTGACGGTCTGCAGGTGTTGGGAGCAGACTTTTTTTTTTTTATTGCTTATATGAGTGGACGAGCTCACTGCCCACCTGGTGTTAAGTGGTTACGGAGCCCATAGACATCTACAACGTAAATGCGCCACCCACCTTGAGATATAAGTTCTAAGGTCTCAATTATAGTTACAACGGCTGCCTTACCCTTCAAACCGAAACGGCATCACGGCAGAAATAGGCAGGGTGGTGGTACCTCCCCGTGCGGACTCACAAGAGGTCCTACCTACCACCAGCAATTACGCAAATTATAATTTTGCGGGTGTCATTTTTATTACACGATGTTATTCCTTCACTGTGGAAGTCAATCGTGAACATTTGTTATGTACGTATTTCATTAGAAAAATTGGTACCCGCCTGCGGGATTCGAACACCGATGCATCGCTCAACACGAATGCACCGGACGTCTTATCCGTTAGGCCACGACGACTTAAGACCCAAGAAGTTTTAGAGCTCTACAGCACTAAACAACCCCTGCACTCTTACACCCGATGTCTGATCTCCATCCGGGGTGAGAACCTGGTCAGAGTTACCCTGTTAGTGAGAGATAGAGTGCTGTTACTTTTTTTTATTTGCTTTATTTGCTAAGTCTCGTATACCAAGAAATAGATCAACTCATTTTTTTTGTTACAATTAATATTAAAGTAAATTTTTCCTTTCAGATCTCCTAGTAAATCTAGACGATCCAGATCCAGATCACGATCTACTTCACGCAGACATAGACATCGTTCTACTAGCCGTTCGCGGCATAGATCCAGGTCAAAACGAAGATCGCGGTCTCGACACAGGTCTAGACATTATTCTCCGAGACAGCGAAGTAGACGATCTGGGACAAGGTTTGTTTTAAAATAAGTTTACAAGCTTGTAGTTACAACTCGAGCACGCTAAGCTTGCACCTCGCTGGAATGCGGCGCTTCCCCGCTCACCTTCCCGCGATCGCCCTGTCGCGTCAGTACGGTTAGCATCTTTGTCGCCGACACGCGTCATACGAGTTTTCGTCTCCCTATCTGTTGAATTTTAAATTTTTTAACTGTTGTTGTTACGTTTTTTGTTGAAGTTTAGTTATATTATTAGACTATTTTTTAAAGCTTTTGTTAAACTGTTGTTACTGAATGCTCAACGTTCATATTTTTTTTATTTCGAGAGGATTGTTGTGGGCAACAAAATGAAAAGAGAGGTGATACACATTGAAGGGAGAAACATAATCCTGAAAAAGAAACATAAAGGAAAATTACTACAGAGCATTTTAGATACAAATTTTAAAAGTGCAAGAACGCCTGGTTGGTCTTAATACAAAAACCCGATATCGCTATATCCTAATGTACCTATGTATAATATATTGTTAAAAACAATAAATGCAAAGTAAAATTTTAAAGTCATAGCGAATCCTTTTTTCAGACCATACCTAAGCGGCTGTATGACGTAATCGACGCAAGGTGCAAACTTAGCTTGGTTGAGTTGTACATATTATTACTATCATACCATGGGTGGAAATGAAAGTCACCAGACATTTTCCAACTATCCTGTCTTATAACTTCATTAGTATTTATAAATATTAATGCAACTCACAAGGCCTTTTTTTTACAACAGTCGATCACCAACTGGGGTAAAATTAGCTGACAGTGAAAAAAAACGACTTCTTGAAGTAGCAAGGCGAAATGCTATCAATATGCTCAAAAATGGTGCGGTGCCTGCTGGGGCGGCTGCACTGCCTCCACATACCAGAAACCAAGTTATGGCTGCTATACAATCTGGAGGTGTGTAGTCAACAAATAAACGCTGAAAAAACTTCAATTTTTCGGTAAAGACAGTTATCCAAAAATTTAGGTTTTGCTTATTTTAATTTCTTAATTTTTTTTTTATTGCCTTTGTAAGCAAACGAGCATACGGCCCACCTGATGGTAAGTGGTCACCGTCGCTCATGGACCTCAGCAATGCCAGGGGCAAAGCCAAGCCGCTGCCTACCATTAATTCAATTACGTTAGATTATGAATATTACTTCATCAAGTGAAAATAAAGTAAATTATTGTAGAAAATATCACTTTAAATAACAAAAAAAGGTGAGTCGAAATTAAATTATTCCTTTTTAAAGCTGACATCATCAGAAGGGTCAGAAGATTAAGCCAAACAGATTAAATTATTGGATTGTCATCTAGATAATTTATATGTGTATAAAGTTACTCAGATTAATCTACACTTAATAACACAAATTAAGTACCACTTTATCATCTGTCAATGGATTTTTTGACATAATAGTTATTATTATAGGTAAATCAGTGGATGAACTAACAGATTTCTGCAAACACTTATCAAAAAAGGAAGCACTAGGGGAGCTATCTTCTGTCTCATCAAACGATGATGACATGAGTGAGAATGAAGACACACTTGCTTTCCATCATCCATTTCTTGTTAAAGAAAAGGCTCCTATTGTCATGAATATTAGGGTAAGCATTATAAAAACAATAATCAAGAGTATTTCTATTACCTATCTTAAATAGGAATTCATATGTCTCACGTCCTTAAGTATTGTTTACACAATACGCAACAAATCAAAAATGTCTACGTAAAACATTATCATAGATATTTAGATAGTCATCGAAATACCTAATTCTCATTTGTAGCAACCTGTTAACCATTTGAAATATTTTTTATTTTAAAATAATATACACAAGATTTTACACTCCAAAACCTTTAACCATTTTTAACTACTTGTATTAATAATCTAGGGAGGAGCGCCCCTTCCAATAAAAAACAGCATTGTTCCAGTAGCCAATAAAGAGGAACTAAGATTACAGTTCCCTGTATCTTCAGGAACTCAGCACAGAGAAAAAGCATTAGAATGGGTTCCAGTTTCACCTCCAAAAAAAGATATGGTAAGTGATATTGTTATTACATATTTTACAAAATCCATTTGCAGCTTTCGCTGATGGGTCGGTTTTTAAGAATATTATCCATTTACTGCATATTTAAAAGGCAGAGAAGGCCTGAATGACCCGGTCTTGGTGTTCAGTGATAATTAGAGACTATCGAAATCTCAAAAAAATTTAAATAACTCAGAATGGTAGAATTCTAATTGCATGCTCTACTGGTATTACACACACTATAGTTGCAGACCATAGTGACACGAACGGATTTCTTATTTTATAAAAAATACTCTAAAAAATGTATGTTTTACAATGATTAAACACTTTCTATCTACAATTAGATGATAGTGAGCTTAAAATAATTTCATTTTTTTATTTGCAGCAAATAGCCAAACTTAGTCCCATTTCTGAAAACACGTTAACCAAAGCGATACTACCAAGTACAGTGCCCACTGAGGATGTTGCGATGTAAGTAAAGTTTGTTATAATTGTGAACTAGCAAATGTTTAATGCTACCGAAGCCAATTTGCAATAAGCTTATAATACAATAATAATAATTATTAATTAGCATATATTTTAAAACTTGTCATTGCAGTTGTTATTTTGTAAATGGCAATGACTACAAACAATATATGTGACACTTTATACATATAGACATGACTGTGTTGTTTTTATCTTTTCAGGACGAGCTCTGTACCTCTGGCACTCCCAGCCCCTCCCCAACCGTTAGTTCAACCAAGTTACATGAAGGGTTTCACATCAGGAACGCGTAAGTGAAAGGATTTTTCGATATTTAATATAGTGTAAAGAATTATTGATGTGAAACATCTATAGCCGCACGTAAAACCGATTTCTGGCGTGGCGACGCATGCCGCGGCGACGCGTCGCCACGCTATATGATGGTATATATATACAGTCTATATGCAGTAGTGTGTACGGTGTGGCGACGCGTCGCCATGCGATCAATCCGGCGTTAAGCCATCTCTCTCGCTACACTGAGCTCGGATACCTATAGTGTATACTCCGTAGTGTATACAGTGTTGTTTACTATACAGTACACATAACCTGTGTTTTACTTGAAAACAAATTATTTTTTCGTAATATTTCGTAATATTGGAGTTTACTCCTTTAGAATCGATTTACATATATAGGCCCGGGGTATGAAAATTATGGGGACCAAAATCGTACTAGCATGTCACACGAAATGCGTTATGCGCCTGATTGGCTCCTGATTGCGTGATGCGTGCGCGCGCCAATCAGGAGCCAACGCGCGGCCGCGTTATCGCAGGTGACGCCGGGCTGCTGCGCCGGCAGTCCGCCACAAAGCCTCGTACTGATCGCGCGTTTCTCTCATTATTGTATTTTCATATATTTGTTAGTCGTTTGTTTTGTGTCTCGTTAATTTGTTAATAATCTGTAGTGTATCGTGTTGTCGTAATATAGAACTATTTCTCGTATTGTTTCGTTTAATTTTTTATATCCAGTAAACTCCAGTCGTGCGTCGGAGCGGACACACACACTTTTTATTTTATCATTATGACATATTTAGTTCCTATCACAATCTGTTCTTTTCTGCATATTACTTTTACAAAATAATGTCGATGTTTCATATCTGCCAGGCGTCCTGTGACGGCTCACATTTTTTTTTTACACCACAGAACCTTACTCATAGTGATTGAGGAACAGCTGGTGATCCTCAAGGTACCCATAGAGCGTGATATAGATAAATTTGCCATTACACCCTGTGTTATACTACACAAATATTCCGTAAAATCAATCAAATCATCGTAGATACTACATAATTTTTCCTATTTATTGGTAATGTGAAAACTTCATAAGTGCCGATCTGATTTAAACTCTGAACAAAAAAGAGACAAATGTCTATGAAATTTAACTTGTGACTAAATGAAATGCAAAAATGAAGATTAAAATTTTACCACATTTCAACGTATATTTTCTTTACGGCTTTGCACTCGAATCACAAAAAACAAAACAACTTCGTCCATACATCAGGGTGATAGCAATTTGTTAGCAGTGGCTTGGACGTATAATTACGTTCTCATCGCTCTTGCAAATGGATTATAATCAAGATCCTCATATTAAGTATTCTTTTATGTATTTATTGCTTAGGTGGGTGGACGAGCTTACGGCCCACCTAATGTTAAGTGGTTACCGGAGCCCATAGACATTCTACAACGGAAATACCGCCACCCACCTTGAGATATGAATTTTAAGGTCTCAGTATAGTTACAACGGCTACCCCACCCTTCAAACCGAAACACATTACTGCTTCACGGCAGAAATTATAGGCGGTGGTACCTACCCGTGCGGACTAACAAAAGGTCCTACCACCAGTAATTACGCATATTATAATTTTGCGGGTTTGATTTTTATTACACAATGTTATTCCTTCACTGTGGAAGTCAATCGTGAACATTTGTTAAGTACGTATTTCATTAGAAAAATTGGTCCCCGCCTGCGGAATTCGAACACCGGTGCATCGTTAGATACGAATGCACCGGTCTTATCCTTTAGGACACGTCGACCTCAAAGTTTTCAATAATCAGTTGAAATCTCTTGCCTGCAGAATTATCATCGGTTCCCGCTTTAGCAGCCCCGGGACCACAAGCTTATCCGCCAGGAATAGAGCCCGCTCCCATCGTAAGTATTATCCGTCATCGTTTAGAAACATAACTTGGATAATTTTAAACACTTGCAATTTAATCTCGTAAACCAACCAACTTTGTGACGTGGATCGGCGACTCCATTTTTTCAAAATCTTCTTTCTAAGTTATTGTTTCTGTTTTTCCTTCAGGACATGGCATTGATTGTATCACAGAAATTGTCAATGATTCGTAAGGAACAAGAAGAAAGCGAATTGTTGAGTACTCATGGCGTAAGTACCAATGGTTGATGGGACCTTTAAACTTTTTGCATTTTCTATATTTATTTTTTTTACTTAATCGCTGGTAGCCTCGTAGGTTCATTCCTGGTTGTCGGAGCTGGTAGGCGAGCTCACGGCGCTCAGCTTGAGAGAATTTGCTAACACTAGCCCACTAGCAAGAGCAGTGCTATGCTGAATCTTATCTATTTTATATGGGACATCCCATATAAAGACTGAAACCTAAAAATCATGTCTCGAGTTTGGTGACGGCATTTACATTGTTTATGGATTCCGGTAACCACTTACCACCAGGTGGGACGTGAGCTCATGCACTCATCTAAGCAAAAAAAACCCAGTGGGTTATGCCTATGGTTGAAATGCGTCCTAACACCAGTAGATATTTGCCGAAAAGCAAGTTACAGTAGATTAGGGGGAATCGAGACGCTTTCCAATTCTAACACAAATTTTCAGCGCTTTTTCTTCGGGCTATACCAATTAAATTGAAATTGAAACTATTCCGGAGGTTAAAATTTCCATATACAATACAGTACATTATACATTAAAAAATATACACAAAAACTTAAAAAACTAGCTTGACTTGATCCACCTTGGCTTTTGGGATGAATCGGGTTATGTATGGAGACAATAGTTTTTCGATAGGGCTGGCACTGTTTAGTTAGGTAGGTACTACTTACCTTTAGGTAATTCACTTTTCAATATCTTTAATCAGTTACAAAACTCTGATGACTGAATTAAACTAGTTAATATTCTTAAACAGTACATAAAGTCTTTTTGCAATTCAACAAATTTAAATCCCACAAAAGCATTGTGACAGCCCAGATTTGTTCCTATTATACCCCTAGTCCCTATTCCCCCCAATCTACAGTACAGAGTAGTTCTCAATATGTTTAATTCTTTCAGTTTGGCTGGTCAAAGGACAGTGCGCTAGGTCAGTTCACTGGATCGACAGGAGCACAGATCTTAACCCCAAAGGAACTGGCCAGCGGTACGCAGGCTTGGGCTAAAAAGGTATACAGATACGATTTAGTTAATCATTTGATTTGATTAGTGCAAAAATATATTTACACAATACATATGATTTATTTCCTTGATCATCAAGATAATTTGATACAGCTTTCACGTTTTAAATTTTCACACAATTCGCTTTTTTGTTTTAAACTTGAAACGGATATGATAAAGAGCACTTTTAGTAATTTGAAGCACTTATACAGAATTACATTTTTAAAACATGTAAACACTTTTTTTTCTACTTAATATGTCTTTCTTAAATTTTCCTCGACTATATTTTCAAATATGATTATGTTAGTATTGATGATCGAGGAATATATATATTTATATACATATTATATATAAAACATGCTTGTAAAAATGCGTTAAAGTTTTGAACGGAGCCAAACTACATAGTTTTGTTTTTATATAACTAAAACTCTCCCTCCTTGATTTTGTCATATCATTAAAAATATTTTAGGCTAAAATTTATCAGAATAAATTTCCTTTGAAATTTAGGTCACAAAGTTAAGGCTAAAATTTACCAGAATAAATTTCCTTTGAAATTTAAGTCACAAAGTTAAGGCTAAAATTTACCAGAATAAATTTCCCTTGAAATTTAGGTCACAAAGTTAACAAAATAATTTTATATAAAATCTAAACCGGTCTCTGCATATTTGTGGATTCTGATAATTTGTTTAACATTTAAAAAAAATTGTAAAATACATATTATTATTCTATTGTGGTGTTATAAAAAAAATTTAATAAGATACAAATTAAATTTTTTGTTCCACAACTTGACCGTGTTATTGACGGTAGTTCATAAGTTTCGTTCATTACTTTAATGGGTTGGCAATGACTTTTCTTTCAGCTGACAGTGTCAACGATCGTGATGCTGTGCGCGGCAACCGGTCGGATCTCATAATACACTTGTATTATGTTTTTCGACCTCTATCTCAAATATCAGATGGTTGCAACGACATTTCGAAACTATGAACCAGCAAAAGGATATTCTTTTTAGATGCAAAATAAAAAAAGAATTTGTATTCTGGTATACATATTAGCGACCCGCCCTCGCTTCGTTGCGGGGACTATTTATTATTTATTTTACTGAATTTCCTTTTATATATAAATATTTGTTTTAAACGAATTTCAGTTTTTCTTAAATCCTCTTTAACGATATTTACAGCACGCATCTGTGAATGTTATGTCAAACGCCATAAGGTTACATTAGAAAATTTAATAAAGTGGTTATTTATTCATAAATTTTCTAATTTTGTTCGCAATTTTCTAATTTTTTCTTTCATAAGAACTTTCTTCTGACAATAAGAAATGCAACAAAAAAATAATTATCCCAAATTGCTACCGGCGTTCTGAAGTCATGCGTGTCCATACATTACGCAGATTCGTTTTTATATAATATATGTATTTTTATTTTATTTTTTCGTTTATACCGTATTAATTCGTTAATTAACAAATAATATTAACATTCCTTTTCTTACTCGTAATTCTTTATCGCTCAATATATCGTAGGATTGAACTACAAGAAAATGTTACTGCAACCATCTCGTTTAATATAAAATAGTGTAATGAGAGAACTATGTTCGTTCAATCATTACACTGAAGGAAAACATATACATACCGTGATCGTGAACTTAAATAAAGCGAACAGAGACTTGTCAAATTAAATTGAATGCTACCATAACAGTTAAATAAAGATTTAAAGGGTTGCCATATACATATTTCTAAAATGCTTAAATTGCCAATTAATTTCTTTTGTTTTTCCACCATTTTAAAGGGATTTCTATTAAATTTGATCTGAAATTTTTGAAAGTTCTAAATATGAACAAAATTTAGGAAATCTTGATATTGCAAGACATAAATTGGTGAAATTGGCCCGTGTATTCTAAAATATACATGAAATATTTTATTTTATTGATTATTTTCATATTTTGACAAGACTCTGTCTACTTTTCAACGGAGATGACCGTGATGATAATTATCATGCCAACTCCTCGGCATGTCAATCATCATTACATCGGGAACAAATATTCAGTCTTCCCCATTTATCAGACTGACAATAATATTGAAATAAGACTTTATTTGCGAAAGAAAATCATGTCTTTTTTTCTTATTTGAATAAAATCTCTACATTATTTTTATTTCGTCATTCAAAAAAATCTTTCGTTTTCCGTCAGTCTTCTAAATCGTTTCATAAAGCCTGGCAGTCTTTTGAGTTAAAAAAAAAACGTAAATAACTCAACAACACTCAAAGGGAAGCATGGCTTTAACGGGGAATTCGTGAATATTTGTTGCAGCTTGTTTGTGATACGGAGACGCTGTACGTTAGACGCACGACGGTACTGCGCTGATAAACCAAAACGTATTACCTAATGCGAGGTAAGTATCCAATATCGTGGGGGGAACAACCGTTAACGAGAAATGAATAAATGTTGCCAACTTCATAAACTACCTAAATGTTTATATCGAATACAAAAATTGAGACAGATAGTCGTGGGCGCGAAATGACAACCGGCCAAAACAAAAATAATTTGACATTTAGTTTTTTTTTTATATATCGAGAAGTTTAACTGAAAAATCGTAATGGAACAAAATGAAAATAATAAATCTGTATGTAGGATCAACTACAACGTGCAGCTCCTGTTGAGGGAGGAATGGGTATGCATCTGCTGCAGAAGATGGGTTGGACCCCGGGTCGAGGTCTCGGGAAGGAAGGCACCGGGACCCTACAGCCGCTACTGCTCGAGGTCAAGCTGGACACGAAGGGTCTGCAAGCCAAAGAAGAATACAACAATAAATACAGTAAAGCTGTGAGTATGATCTTCGTTATTAAACCGTTGAAATTGAATGCATCTGTTAACATTTTGTTGGGGGGTATGCATATATGCAGCCGTCGTCTGCGGCAACATGGCGCTTATCTATATATTAATACGTGAAGCAAAAACTTTTTACCCCTTTTTACGAAAATTGCGCGGACGGAGGAGTATGAAATTTCCCATACTTATAGAGAATACAGAGAAGGAGTGCAGAATGCTAATATATTTTTAAATTACGGATTAAAAATGCATTAAATCAATAAAAGAAAAAAACATTACACACACTACCATGTATTTAACACACACACACGCATGCATACATTTGTTTATTGTCAAACTTTTCTTGTTGTTTATTTTATAGTCTGTGGTCAAATTGAAAATAGTTTATATATGACTTTTTGGCGGGAACGCGAGGAGTGAAGTTGTGTGATTTGTTTTATTTTGTCTATTTAGTGTTTCTTCAGGTTTAAATGTGTAATAACGGTGGTTTATTAACTGTTTAATATCTGTGAAAGTGCACAAATGTGGGAAAATGAAACAAAGCCGCTGGACGCAACTTCTCGGGATCCTCCAAAAAGTCCACTGAAAAAATCTTAGTAAATGACCACCATTTTACTAAGATTATATTTCATTCCATATCATCTCATTTCATTTAATTTCATCCCAGTTGATTAATGTCTCAAATTAATCATTTTCATTTCATTTCACTCCATATTATCATTTTTCATAAAAATAAGAATATAAATTAAAATAAGACATGACTTAAAGGTCTTAGTTACCAGGTCATAAAATCACTTAAAATTTTTTTATATGTTTGTCTTTATTAATATTTCTCTAAAGTGTAGTCTTGGCGAAATCTGTGATCATAGAAGTATAATAATAGTCGATAATAGAATCATAATAGTGCACAAACTTAAAATTTCAATTAATTATAGTCGTATTTCCACCACTAGTTATTTTGAATGCACTAGATACTATTCATATTTTGAAGTCGTGGCCTAAAGGATAAGACGTCCAGTGCATTCGTATCTAACGATGCACCGGTGTTCGAATCTCTCAGGCGATTACCAATTTTTCTAATGAAATACGTAGTTAACAAATGCTCACGATTGACTTCCACGGTGAAGGAATAACATCGCTTAATAAAAATCAAACCCGCAAAATTATAATTTTGCGTAATTACTGGTGGTAGGACCTCTTGTGAGTCCGCACGGGTAGGTACCACCGCATATTTTTGCCGTGAAGCAGTAATGCGTTTCGGTTTGAAGGGTGGGGCAGCCGTTGTAACTATACTGAGACCTTAGAACTCATATCTCAAGGTGGGTGACGCATTTACGTTGTAGATGTCCATGGGCTCCAGTAACCACTTAACACCAGGTGGGCTGCGAGCTCGTCGGCCCATCGAAGCAATAAAAAAAAGTTTAATGTGTTATGTTGTAAGCGGCCTTAACTGACATCTATTGTCCAGATTAAACAACACAGAATCAGGAGTCGGGGTCCAGCGCCACTGATTGGGGCAGGCGGTAAACATCCCGTCTCGCTGCTGGGAGAGTATTGTTCGAAACAGAAACTCGGACCGCCAGAATATAATTTGTGTTTCGAATGTGGTCCCGATCATAAAAAAAACTTTTTGTTTAAGGTATGAAAAACATTTTATTTTTATTCATTAACTAGCTGTACCCGTCCGCTTCGCTGAGCATTTAAAATTAACATTATTATTTCTTACCCCTTACAAAGATTCTCATCATTAACGCCCCCGCAACTGGTGTAGGGAATCCAACACTCATATAAATATTAGCCTATCCATTAAGTACATGTATTTTCTACATGGATACGAAGTTTCAAGTCAATCGGATGCATGGTTCAGTAGTTATAACGGAACATCTGTAAAAGCCACTGTAGATTTATATATTAGTATAGATTATTGTTGTGCTGAAAGAAAAACACACAGAATATTACACCTAATAAAGATTACGAATGGCACGCCGTTTTGTTAGGTATAGTTTCCATCATCTTACCCACTTTTGCCTTGAAGCAGTAATGCGTTCCGGTTTGAAGGATGAGACAGCAATTAAACAACAAACACTTTGGAGACTTCAACCTCTCGTCTCTAGGTGATTGAAGAAGGCATTCATGTTAAATGTCTATAAGCTCCAGTACTTAACACTAGTTAGACAATGAGATCGTCCACCCATCTATGCAATGTATTAAAAAAAAAAGAGGGAAAGATGGTTTGTTAAATGCTCCAACGCGCAGAGGGTCACATTTCTTATGAATTTTATAAATAAAATTTGAGAAAAGGATTCACACCCTGACCTAGGACCTCTTGGTCACTCATTCACTGATATTTTGGAAATAAACGACAAAGGGAAGATCTTCCACCGAGCGGGTGATATTGCTAGGTAGACCAACGGTCCGAATGTTGTTGTTCGTAATTTGTATACAGTAATCCCCCCTAAAACACGGTATATTGGTTCCGCGTTATAGGAAACGCGCTGTAGGAGTATTCTCGCATAACACGCTTGTTTGACCCCATATAACACGTAATCTACAAATATATAGGTAATACAAAACAATCAATGTTTTTACAATTTAAAAACTAGGAACATAAATTTAATAAATTCGTTTAATTTAATTTTATAACAACACAATTGACACAATGTGCAAAGAAAGGTACGCGAAATTAATTAAAAACTGTACAAATCATTATAAATTACACAGCACAGAAATAGAAAGTGTGGAATGCCCGCGTTATATCGGGGAATATCCGTGCTATACGAGGTACTTTAATCGCGTAATAAGAAAATGCGTTATAAGAGTACCGTGCTATAAGGGGTATAGCACGGTACTCTTATAACGCGTTTTCTTATTACTGTATATGCAAGCTTATCTTGAAAATGTCGTGAGCGAGATTCAGGCATCTGTTAAATACATATCTTGTGTTTATTTCCTCGCTAAGTATCAACGTGTGAGGAAATGAAGTAAATCCAATGGCAATCCTGTGATATCTAGAGGTGTTTTCTTTGCCAATATACAGCCGTACTGATGATACGTTATTAACAAAACCCATAGACAGGCCACAACATGAAAACTATTGCATACCTTGTAACATTTTAATTAGCGTAAAAATTTATTTAGCGCCATTTTAATTTGAAAATCGATAAAATGAAAAAAACAAACATATAAATCAATATTATTTTGACTGCGAGAGAATGAGCTAAAATACTTCTGAAAGTTTCACTTTCTTGCATATCAACTGCACCATTATTTTTAGCCTCAATAATCCGATGAGCTTGCAGCCTTCCCGATGGCAAGTCGCTGCTGTCCATGGACACCGGCAATGCTAGAGCACATTCGCGCCGGTACCTACCAATGTTAAATACTCTCTTACGCATCGTTTGAATGACATGCTGTATAATGCTACAGGAAAAGAGGGAGTTATTATATGAAAATAATAATTTTACATCACAAAAAAAAAAAAATTGTTCTTATAATAAATAGAATTCTTCACAAATTGTCGTAAATGAATAATTGATGATGGTTTATTTGCACAGGTGAGAGTGGCCGGAGTCGAATACCAGCCAGCCGTCGCGAGCGCCAATAAAAAACAAGCCAAAGCAGACGCCGCACAGTTGGCGTTGCAGAAATTAGGAATAGTCTGCTAGTGCTCACACATAAAACAATGCGGATACGATTTTGTACTTTGATGTAAATATATACAATTTTATGTAGATATTGTTATTTTATTGAATAATGGCCAAATCCGGCCCGCTCAGCTGTCCGATCTCGATTTGGCTTTGGTCTGTTCGCTACCAAACATTACAAGGTGATTCACTAAGCCAATCTGAAATAGCTTAAAATTTTCAATTAAATTGGTCCAGACATTTCGAAGTCCGTAAAGAACAAAATATGTGTAGGTAGACACATACAAAAAAAAAAATACAAAAATTTTTAGCCTTTTTTTTTGTTATTGCTTATGTGTGTGGACGAGCTCACAGCCCACCTGATGTTAAGTGGTTACTGGAGCCCATAGACATCTGCAACGTAAATGTACCACACACCTTGAGATATAAGTTCTAAGGTCTCAGTATAGTCACAATGGCTGCCCCACCTTTCACACCGAAACGCATTACTGCTTCACGGCAGAAATAGGCGAGGCGGTGGTACCCACCCGTGCGGACTCACAAGAGGTCCTACCAGTAATTACGCAAATTATAATTTTGCGGGTTTGATTTTTATTACACGATGTTGGTTTCATCACCGTGGAAGTCAATCGTGAACATTTGTTAAGTACGTATTTCATTAGAAAAATTGGTACCTGCCTGCGGGATTCGAACACCGATGCATCGCTAGATACGAATGCACCGGACGTCTTATCCTTGAAGTCACGACGACTTCTATAAGTTCTATAATATATGTAAGTTTAAGTGAAGTATAATGACATTTGAGGTTTGAACAGTTTTAAATAGTTTTGGTTACTGGTGGTAGGACCTCTTGTGAGTCCACACGGGTAGGTAACACCACCCTGCCTATTTCTGCCGTGAAGCAGTAACGTTTCGGTTTGAAGGGTGGTGCAGCCACTGTAACTATACTTGAGACCTTAGAACTTATATCTCAAGGTGGGTGGCATTTACGTCGTAGATGTCTATGGACTCCAGTAACCACTTAACATCAGGTGGGCCGTGAGCCCGTCCACCCATCTAAGCAATCAATAAAAAAAACATCGACAGTAGAGCATCAGTAATGTTGTTTATTACAATTAAACAATATACTTGCAATAAAACGAAGGTTAACTTTTATATTTTATTGGAACTACAATAGCATTCTATTATTACTTATTAACAAACTCATTATTGGGCATGAAGTAATTTACCCATCTACTTTTTTAACATACTACAACAAACTCGACTTTTCAAATTTTACACTTGCTAAGAAATATATAAATATAATTTCTATAATATAATAAACGTATAACTGCAAAAAATAAAAAAAAGAAGGAACAATCTTTTCAAACAATTAAATCCCAAGACTAACTAGACTTTATTCTGAATCATAACTTTTTATTATTGTTTATATTTGATTGGTTATTAATCATAATTCATGATAATGTTTTGCTAATCACCACAGGTATATTGAATTTAATTCTCTACACCTATAAATAAAGCCATATTTAACAATTTGTTCATAGAATTCAAAATAAACATAATTGTGTATTTCAAGTAACATCAGACTACTTACAAATAATTAGAATTGTTATTTTTCACTATCATTTACAAACAAAAAAATTTTTTATTTTTGAAATATTTGAAGAGAAAAAACCTTAATATGGTTTATTGAGAATAAATAACTTCATCACAGATCTTTTCCATTTTGTTGAGTCATTGATAACAATTACTCCTTATTTTCTGTCTGTTGTTTGATTCTGTAATCTGATAATGCTGCTTTAATTGCGTCTTCTGCAAGCACTGAAAACACCAAGAGGGTATTAAAAATCTAAACATAAAAAATCTCAACAGCCCAATCATGAAAACTTTCATTGTGTATTTTTGAAACTAAAATGACTTTCATGTCAAAATGTTGCAAAGATTTAAAATATCATTTCTATAAAATAAATGTTCACGTTTAGTTTATAAAGATTATTTTCCATCCAGCTAGTATAATTATTATTACAGTTCAACCCTGTACATGTTTTATACTCTATACCTATAGGGTGTCCAGTATACTAATGATAAATCAACCACAGAGTGAAGGCACAAGTACAAAGGTCCTAATTCAAATGTTCATATTCATTAAAATTATTATGCCCCCGTGACCGTAGATAGTAGTTACCAAATCCATAGTTATTCCAATAATGCATTTTAAAATTCAGTATGGTAAAATATGATGCTTTATTTAATCACAGACAATAGCTTCATGTGTGTGGTATCAAATTAAAGTACTTAGTGTCTGTAATTCATATGAAAAGAACTTAAAAAATTTGGTAAATGTTCTGACTCTTTACAGTTCCAGTAAAAAAAGTTTTGTATATATCATTACTATGTTGATAAATTGCAGTTTAACAATTAAAAACTTACTAGAGCAATGAAGCTTGACTGGTGGTAAGGACAGCTCTTTAGCAATATCTGTGTTCTTCAATTTTAGTGCCTCATCAACTGTTTTTCCTTTAACCCATTCAGTGGCAAGAGAGCTTGAAGCTATAGCTGAACCACATCCAAAAGTTTTAAATTTGGCATCAATGATTTTTCCATTCTCGTCCACTTTGATTTGCAACTTCATTACGTCTCCACATGCAGGTGCACCAACGAGGCCTGTACCTACATTTTTATCTTTCTTATCCAATGAACCAACATTGCGAGGATTCTCGTAATGGTCAATGACCTGTAAGATAAAGTATACTCTTATTATACATACTAATTTTATAAATCTGAAACTGTAATTCTTTGTTTGTTTGTCATTTTGTTAGATAGCAATGAATTCACATTTTCCTTCAAATCGGCAATTCTGAATCCCACTTGGTTAGTATAATAATATTTTGACTAGCTCATTAATACAGTTATTGGCACTCTTTTTCTACTAGGGTGAGGATGTTGTATTAAATTCTCATATTAGACAATTACTTGAAATCTCAATCTTTAATAGTACTTAGGATGTATCCTTCTTCTTACCTATATGGTTGTAATGAAAGTGTATTTTATTTGTAGTTGAAAATTTTATGGTGAAAAATTTGTAGGTGATGAGATGACACTACAAACATACATGTAGAAAAAAAGGTAGTGGATATTTCCATCTAAGTATTATTTTTATTTAAGTAATTTACTATTACAAGTTGATTCAAATAATAAATTTTCGATCGAATGTACATTCTGGATTGTTCGACAAAAACTTGACACTCGTGAGGCTTATTTTATTATTTAAACAGCTAAAAGAGCTTGTTATAAATCTTAAGAGAAAATGAAATTATAAATGTATACTTTCCAAAATTTATACAATTTTCGATTGCATGTTGCAAGAAATGTCTAAATTTCGAAAATAATTTCTAATCGAGAATGGTTCCGGGAGTTTATTTTAAAAGACTCTTAATTAATTATTAACATTTTAATCGGCCGACCATTAGCTCCTACTCGCTTTTTCTGATGGTCAAGGTTTTTGCCAAAATTACGTCGCAAAGTAGAAAATCGATAATCCTTGACATTGGCAAATATTTTTGATGCATATAGGTACTTACGTTTGCATGATAAGGTGCCGCAAGAATCACATTAGGACTTCCAAAGCCTTTAAGACACATACATCGACGAATTCCGTTGATTAAAAAAGCCATTTTATATATTTCAGAAAAACAAATTCAGATGATAAACGTTCTTTTATTCAGACGACGTAGTTTCAAGTTTTCAAGTATATAGTTGGGTTTTTTTTAAAGGGATTTTGTGACCTGGTAACTAAGACCTTTAAGTCATGTCTTATTTTAATTTAAATATATTCATATTTTTATAAAAAATGATATTATGGAGTGAAATGAAATGAAGATGATTAATTTGAGACATTAATAAACTGGGATGAAATTAAATGAGATGATTTGGGATGAAATATAATCTCAGTAAAATGGTGGTCATTTACTGAGATTTTTTCAGTGGACTTTTTGGAGGATCCCGAGAAGTTACGTTCAGTGGCTTTGTTTCATTTCCCCACATTTGTGCACTTTCACAAATATTAAACGATTAATAAACCACCGTTATTACACATTTAAACCTGAAGAAACACTAAATAGACAAATTTAATAAAAAAAATCATACAACTTCACTCCTCGCGTTCCCGCCAAAAAAGACCAATAATAGGTACCGTAAAATGGGGCGATTAGGGATCGAGAGGTGATTGGGGAAAAAAACAGGAAAATCTTTCGACGCGCAATACTAGTTTTTTAATCGTTGCAAAATCTTCCATTTTTTGTAGTGTAATAGTAGAATGTTGAAAGTTCACAAAACAACTCTGAATATGCATGATAATAACTTATAAAAAATCGTGTTTCAAATTAACTTTCTGTGGTGGTAATTATTTTAATGCTAGAAACTTTGTTCTCTTTTATTTATTTTAAAATAATAGAAGAGGACTGTGATTTATAAACGCAAATTAGTGTTTGAACCATCATATATAAAATAAATAAATAAATAAATATTTACTAATAATCACGCCACGTTAACTGGTCCCGTGATAAGTTCGTAAAGAACTTGTGTTACAGGTACCAGATAACGGAAATAAATGTAAGATTTTGATTATACACATACATATATTTAATATACAACCATAACCCTGGAAAAGACATTTATATTTATCATATAATAATCTTCCCTTGGCGGGATTCGAACCCGCGACCACCTTGTGTAGTGACCATGTCACTTACCACTACACCAGACGGCCGTTATATTAAAGGTAAGTCTCAGTTGTTATTGGTATTAATGTATTTGATAAAATAAAAATACATGTAAAAATCTGTTGTTTTTGGGGATATTGGGGACGTCTCAGGTACAAATAACAACGCAAAAGGGGTCGATTGGGATGAGAATATGTGAAATGGAAACGACCTAAGTATAAATAGGTACAGGTTTCTAGGGTTGTCTATGTAATTATAACAAAAAAATTTTAAATTGTTGGTAAGAATCTGGTTTATTCATGATGTTTTTGTCTACAACTTTTATTCAAAATTATCAATGCAGTGTTATTTTATTATTTGGCAAATATTTATATTATCAGTTACGCGTTGTTTTCTATTTTTAGATATGCCTCGCGTGTACGTATCAAAGAGTGCAAATCCTTATAAGAGATATGATCCCTTAATATTAAAAACAGTAATAGAAGCCTATGAAATTAGGAATAAGTCTTTAGTTGAAATAGCTAAGCAATTTTACACAAGTAAGTCGGTTTTGCATAGACATATGACAAGAACAATTAAATCTTAAGGTGGACAAAAATGTCTAGGTAATACATAATAAAATATATTAATATTTGTTTAAAGTGGGGGTATCCACCTGATTAATCCATGGAATAACGGACACACCTAAGCTCTTAACTCAGATAAATATATCAGCCCCTAAGTACTTTCTAAGAACGAAGAAATATAAACCGCTTATAAGAAAGCCCGCTCGTTCGAATTTAGGTGCTTACCCTCCCTTAAACAGAATCGTTTGGGACTACAATAATGTCCACGGTAGCGCGGTCTCCGTTAATGTTCATTCGGAGTTGTCCGATTGCGCTGACCTAACTTTAAGTGATGAAATAGATGTTTTTTCTAATTGTCTCACAACTTACAGGAAAAATCTGTCGCGGATAATTTCCCAAGTAAATATAAATTAATCATAAGTAATTAAATGTAATCAAGTTTTAGTTATATATTTTTTTTTATTTTTGTAGTCAATGCACTGTCGATTGCACCTATGATTGAGGTGACATCTGCCATGTACTTTTGTCAGTTTTTCAATGTTTTTTATTGATGATCACTTTGTTGGTGCAACAAAACAAATAAATTAAAACTAAGGAGTGCCAGCCCTAGCAAATTTCTCTATGAACACTAATTTCGTCCCCAATAACCGCAATTTCTGGATAAACAGGGATAACACCTATTTTTGCTTTTTTTGCTTAAACTGGAATGCTAATTGCATAGCTTTAAATTGGATAACAAAGATACCCTCAAGACTCAATCATTTTGATCCTGATATAGCATTTTAAACATCAACAACTACCTTAAAATTGTTCATCAAGTTGGAATTTGTCCCTAATCGCCCCATTTTACCGGTACTAAAGATGCGTACTAGTGGAGCTCCTGAGTGAGTGATATAAAAGATATATTATATCACTCACACCGATAGAATGTATCACTAGCTCACACTAGCTCCGAATATATCAGTAACTCAGTTCGAGCTCACTAGATCACTAGCTCATGACTTTGTCTCATGACATGTATCGTGAATTGATGATCGAATGAAAGAAAAATGAATGAGTGAGATAGGTGATGCATTGTGTGGCTGGCTGACGAGAATAACCGTTTACGCTAATTTCATTTCGACGTATTAGGTTGTCAGGGAAATATATAATTATTTATATAGGGGCAAAGCTTAACATGACTCATGTATTTTTAAAACTAAATAATTTGCTTTATTCTTACATAAAAAGGTAGCCATTAATTTGCGAAGTTAATATTATAGACAATGCTATCCTATATCAAAAAAAAATATTTGAAAAAGTTTTCTTATGTGTTTAGTTCTATGGTAAGCTGCATTTTGTAAATATTTTATGTTTAATCAGAAAACAGTGTAAATAAACTATACTGTGTATCAATAAGTGTTATAGGCCCTGATAGATATAAACTGAACTGACCATTGTAAATATTCCAGTACAAAGTGAGTGATATATGTATATTGAGCTAAATGATCTAGACGAAGAAATGATTTAATTGAGAGACCAATCAATTGAATTGGATCACTGAGCTAGTGATCTAAATGAGTATATATCTTTAGAGCGAAATGACATGTATCTATCTTTTCAGCTCGTTGTTACGTTTTGCGCATCACTAATAGGTACGTTATCTATGTTTACTCTGAGTCGAACGAACCTCTTATGTATTATCTATGGACGTCATGGACGGACCGCAATGACAAGATTTCTAAATGTTGTTTGAAGCTCTTCGCAATAGCGCTTTCTCCCAAACTCTTTACAACCAAAAGCATTAATTTGCGACGAGCCTATGAGCGTAAAAAAATCATTTAAAGAAGTATTTGGTCAAGAATCTACTGTAAAAATGTGCTGGGCCCATGCAAAAATAATAATTATGACCAACGTAAAAAAATTGTAAGCAAAAAAAAGAAGACTATTACAGGATATTGATGTGTTACATCTCCAGATCAGTGTTGGAATCATTTTCAAATTCTCCTTCGATCGAGCCCAAAGTTTGGACCCGGTCCAAAGTTAAATAAGTCACACCACCTGTAGAAGCTAAAAACATACTCTCGGTCGGCAGGCCATCTGAAGGCCGCCTAGATGGGGCCGGTTAGAATAGGTTATCCTACGGAATGCCCCACTAGGTCAGAACTAGCGTGTAGTAGACACGCCGCCTCGAAAGAGATGGTTCGATAAACACGAATGCCCCTGACCGCGATGATGCATTGCGGCTGTTGCAGCAAATTCTCTACCCCCACGGCCAGGGACTGGCCCCACACGGGCGCCGCGTATAGGGCCATTGATCGCGCCACACTTGTATAGAGACCGCGCATCACCTGGTCAGGCTCCCGATATTGGGCAGAAGGCGGCTTGACGCGCCGGCTACCCCCAACAAACGAGGGACCAGGATCTGAAAGTGAGCACGGAAAGTCCAACGATTGTCCAGAATAAGGCCGAGGTACTTCAACTGCACCCCGACCCCAATACGGACGCATCTAACCACGATATGGGCATCGACAGGTGGCAATCTCCGGGGTTTGTGGACCCCATGAGCTCGGATTTACTGAGCGCCACGTCGAGGCCCGATCTCCTGATTTTGCTGACGACATGCGCCACCCCAGTGGTAGCAAGACGGGCAGACTCAGCAAAATCCATTGATTTATTTGATGAGCAAATTTAGTGTGCAATTCAGTATTTTTGGTGGAAATTTCGAATATTTGAATAGAAAAAATTGCATTTACAGTTATAGGATTAAATACTACCCTTAAATAAATAATATAAACTAAAAAAAACATAAGTATAAGTAAATATGTGTGTGTAAAATATTATATATTTTATTATATATATATATATTCTTATTATTATTATACATTATTGTAATCAATATGTCGTATCCACTGGCAGAAGCAAATAGGAATCCATTTAGCTACAACTTTTGCATTTGTGACAAATTGTTCGTGAATTTACTATAATTGCCACTGGCAGCATACTCTACACATTTCGATATAGTCTGTAGTAGAAAGATAGAAATCCCAAAAATATTATTTAAAATTAATCTCTTATATTTTAAACTAGCTGACCCGGCAGAGTTCGTAGTGCCTCAATCGACAAGTAAAAGACCTAAACTTTTGTATAAAATAAACTTAAAACAAACAAAAGGAACCCGTCCGACGCGGGACACATCAAAGGGAAAACAAAATTGTTATCTACCTTTTAAACCGTCTCTGGACTTCCACAAATAATTCAAGACCAAAATTAGCCAAATCGGTCCAGCCGTTCTTGAGTTTTAGCGAGACTAACGAACAGCAATTCATTTATATATACATATAAATTTAAAATTCTCTATTAATATGTATTAAATAAAACTTGCTTATACATTGCGTGTAAACATTAGAGTTATTTTTATTTATCGTATGGCATTCGTTTACACTGCGTGATTATAATTTAAATTTACAGTTTGTGAAATAATCTATAGCT